GCGGGGCGACCCCAGCGCAAGCGCGGACGGCCGCAAGGGCAGCAGGCGCCGGAACCGCAACAGGCGGGCGCGCCGAGACCCGTCCGGGGCCCAGGGCTCGCCCCGCGCGCCCACGAGGGACACCCTACCTTCCTCTTCGGCATAATGACCTGCGGGTCGGCGAAAGTGAAGCGACCGGTTGGGACTGCAAGCCCCGGACGCCGCCAAGCCGCGCCGCCGCTCCCGCTCGGCGCCGCCGTCGCCCCGCCCCCGCCCCCTCCAATCAGAAGCCTCGCCGGCCGGTGGCGACGCCCCATTGGCTGGGGTGGCCTTCTAAATTCCGCAAGGACACGCCTACCGCCGTGCCCCGGCAACCCGCTGCGGGAGCTGGCGCTCGGCGGGGGAAGGCGGCCTGGCAAGTGCGCATGCCCAGTTGCGCCGGCCGGCGGACTGCGCCTCCGGAGTTGCGTTCGTCAGGCCGGTTCCCTCCTTGGCACCGTCTAGGTCAGCGCAGTGTGCGTCTTCGTAGGAAGAAAAAAGGGGCGAGAGTGGGCAGTCACTCAAACTCCTGCGAGTTGGGTGTGGACGTTACTCTCTGGAAGGATGCGGCAGTCTCCAAGGGCCTCGGTTTTTCCCTTTATAAATCTAGTGGCAACCGTCCCCCAGGTCGCTTATCCCTGATGTTCTAAAATCCCAGTAATTCATCCCACTTTAAGCCTGGTGTGAAAAGGACATGAGTGTATTTCTTGTAGAAATTAGGGAGGAAATAAAAAGTTTAATTTTAGATTTCAAATATATATTTAAATGATCTTGTCATTTTTAATGCATTGCTTAATGTTTCCAAAGCTTCTCAAAGTTCTGCGTTGTAAAAGTGTCTGATTTCATAAGGCCGGTTTTACTGCGATAGCAAAACCAGGGAAAGACCTAAAAACGGCATTGTAGCTCAATATCCCTAGTAAACGTAGGCCCAAAAGTAATGAGCACATTTCAGCAAATCAACGCGACACCGCTTAAAAGGATGATACCTGACCGGTAGAGTTTATCCTCAGAATGCAGAGTTGGTTTAATATCTGGAAACCAACCGATACAATAGTTAATGTTATTGTTCAATAGTATTGTCGTAATTTGCTCACCTGTCCTGTATGTGCTGAAACAACATACACAAAGGGTTGTTTTTGATACCAGCATGGGGGTTTAAAAAAGTTTGACCTGAATAACTATATTTTTCATATCTCTTTGCTTATTCCTATTTTTCTACTGACCATCTGTTGCCATGCCTAACAATAATGCTTTCTTTCATTTTATGTATTATGAGTTTCCAATTTCAACTGACTAGCTAGTTTCTTTGGTTTTTTCAGTTTTCTGTATTTCGTGATTATTTTTAATACTTGTATCTCCCTACTTTCAGTGAAAGTGGTACCTATATCCTTCTGACCTGCTCTCAATTTTTTTTTTTTTTGAAACATGCTTTTTATTGTTGTCATTGTTGTTCTTTTTGGTAGTCCAGGCGGGCCTAGAATTCACTGTGTAGCTCAGGGCAGCCTTGAACTGGTAATCCTGCTTCAGCCTCCTCTCCTGAGTGCTGGCGCTGCAGGTGTGGGCCATCACATCTAGCTTCCAAATTGTCTGGCATACAGTCCTTGTCAGAGGCGTTCTGCGGATGACAGTATACTGTGTGCAAAAGAAATAAGACAAAGCCAGTTTATTGGTTTAGAATTGCATAAAAATGTAGAGATTTTACCATGAAAAACAATATCTGTAATGAAGATATCTTAGAAGAGTGTTATTAGTTTGCCAAATAATTGGTAGTTTAAAAAAGCCAAGGGAGAGATTTTTAAATGAGTTATTGGAAAATATGTTGGGTAGCACTTGTAGTCTACATTAAATTGTTTTTCTTTATTGAAATTTAAAGGTAATGGAGCGAAGATAAAGCTAAAGTGAATTTTTGCTGTTCTGTTGTTAACAAATGACTCACGCTTGATCTTTTAGTTGATATTTTTCAAGGCCAAATGCTCAATTAACAATAGAGGGGCTGGGGAGATGGCTCAGTGGAATAAGCACCTCCCTGGCAAGTGCAAAGGCCTGAGTTCAAGCCCCGGTTCCACCCCCCAAAAAAAAAAGTAATAATAGCAAGCAAGGGCCAGCAAGACAGTTCAGTGGTCTAAAGCACCTGCTTAGGCAAGCTTAGGCAGGCACAGGGGACCGTGGTTTCATCCCTGGCACCACATGGCACACTAGCCCTACCCTCAGGGTGGGCTGAACCGGCCCCCCTCCCCCAAAAAAGCAAACCAAATTGTGATTATTTTTATTACACATAATGGAATGTTTGCAGTGCAGTTGAAACTTCTGAGTAGGATAAAGAAAGTTGATTTTGAGGAAACTTCAACAAACTTCTTCCTGTTTCCCTTCCTTTCTGGCTCTTTTCCTACTTCCAGCTGCTAGACTCCTATACTTACCCCAGCATTATTCTTTTCTTTCTTTTTTTTTTGTACCAGGGATTGAATTTAGTACCTTGCACTTGCTAGGCAGGTACTTAAGCCACTGAGCTATCTCCCTAGCCCACCCCAGCACTTTTCTTTCTTTCTTTTTTCTTTTTGGCAGAACCGGGGATTGAACTCAGGTCCTTGTGCTTGCCAGGCAAGCGCTTATTCTACTGAGCCATTTCCCTGGCCCCATACCCCAGCATTTTTCAAACAGCGATGCAACCATTCACAGTGTTGTGACTATCACTGAGATAAGGAAAGAGAGAGAAAGAAGTAGAGAAAGAGAAATAGCAAGACAAGAGAAAGAAAAAGGGAGAAGTGGAGCACAAGGGGTATCAGGGTGCATCTCACCTGGTAGGGGTGAGCAGCATATTATACAGTGATGATTTCCATGCATATAAGCACACATGTGGTATACATGTCAGGGGTGTGTGTGTGTGTGTGTGTGTGTGTGTGCTGAGTTGTGATGTGCAATATAGTTTTACTATTGATCTTGAAAAAAATTAAAGCTTTCTACATAGCACTAATAAAACTTGTAGATCTTTGGGTCTCCAACAGTCTGTTCCTCTTCAAATCAAATCCTCCAAGTTTGCAAGGGAGGCATTTTGCAAATCATGTCCCCTTCATTTGTCCCTCCATTACCCTCCAGGGAGGCTCAGACAGACTTTTGCTCTTAATAAGGGCCACTTGTTAAAGAAGTCAGATCTAGAATTTGTTGCTCCTGGTAGCTTTGAAATTCCAGGTTGTGATATGGGTTCTCAGAAAGTCTGCCAAAGAATTTCAGAGTGAATCCAAGAGTGTGACAAAGCATCAACAATCACCAGTGAAAGGTGGCAAGAGAATGCTCTACTTTGTTTGTATTTTATCATCAAGTAATTTGATTTCATGTAACTTTTGAAGACCACCTTGAAGGTTTTTTTTTTTTTTTTTTTTTTGTATTTAGTGCAGGGTCTACAGGGTCTCACTACACAGATCAGACTCAGTGATTCTCCTGTTTTGAGCCTCCTAAGAGCTGGGATTACAGGTCCATGCCACCATGCCCAGTTTCCATCCCTGTCTCAGTGCAACCTGGGAGGCAGGGCCAGCACCGCAGGCTGGGGATTGAACCTTCAACCCCAGTGTCTGCCTAAGTAGGTGCTTTAGTCCACTGACCTATCTGGCCGGCCCTCAGCTACAGTTTTTACAAAGCAATCAGGATGGTCCAAGTGCTGGTCTTTAGTCACATGGGCTGCCTGATAATGCAGATTCCTAGATCCCAGCTCCAAAATACTGAATCAGAATTGTAGTGTGCCTGGGCCAGGGAACCTGAATTTGACATTGTTCTTACAGTACATTTTGAGGATTCTGTTTTTTTTTTTTTTTTTTTTTTTTTGCGGAACTGGGGATTGAACTCAGGCCTTTGCGCTTGCCAGAGAAGCGCTTATTCTACTGAACCATCTCCTCGGCCCCTATTTTGAGGAGTCTAAAGCAGGCCTCTGATCTCAACAAATAAGTGCTCCATGCTGGTACAGTCTTACCTGCTTCTAGGGCTTTTGTAGGTACTGCAGTCTGTGGAGTGACCAGAGAATGAAATGGGAGAATATTTGCATGTGACCTATGTGTGTCCTCCTATGTACTTTGAATCATCACTAGGGCTGGGCAGCTCAGCAGTGTAAGTGCCTGCCTGGCAAGCATGAGGTCCTGAGTTCGATCCCTAGTACCAAAAGCAACCCCCCACACACAAAATAGTTATATTCTATGGTTTAAGGAAGGATAAGTAGAAAAAAGATATATATTTAGTTTTGTCGTGTTTTTTTTTTTTTTTTTTTTTTTTTTTTTTTTTTTTTTTTTGGCGGAAGAGGAGATTGAACTCAGTCCCTTGCGCTTGCTAGGCAAGCGCTTATTCTACTGAGCCATCTCCCCTGCCCCAAAAGATATATATTTAGTACAGATAGTTTTTTTCCTGATACTTTTGATCCTTGTCTGGATTGAGGTGATGAATGTGGAAACTGGATACCAACAGCTGACTGTACTTACATTCTGATGGTATAGATCTATTGAATTCTTTTGATTTTTTTAAATACATTTCCAAGCAGAAGCAAAATTCCCTGGGTGGAGATCTCCTGAGGCCTAACACTGTGCCCCGTGGCTGCACTATGGGTCTGCTTGCTGAGCACTAGCTGCTTATTTCAGTTCTTCCTCTTGAAGGGTGAGGACAGCTGCACACCCGCAGGTACTGAGAGGGGCACCTTCTCTATCTACCCGAGCACGGCTCCAGGCAGCTCCTTGTGCTTCCCCAGGATGAAAATAAAATCCCGAGCCCCAACCCTTCAAAGGGAACCGATGAAGAGCCGGCATCCTGTGAGCCAGTCCCTTTCACAGTGTTACTACGTGAACAACTGGACAAGGTGACTTTATGACATTTTTTGTTTGAGAGAGGGTCTTGCCATGTAGTTCAGCCTGGTCTTGAACTCACGGCATAGCCTAGGGTGGCCTGAAGCTTACTGTGTGCAGCTGTCCTCACCCTTCAGTAGTTAACATCCTACTAACTACTACCTTCCTGATCACAGAGAGGCATGACTCCTCTGATGAGCTGGTTCTGGGTGTAGCTTTGGGGGGCTTCCTATGGCTGACAATCTGTTTCATTACTCTCCTTTCAATCTAGAAGTGTCCGTTTCTTTAGTTCTCCCAACTAGTTCATAAGCCATGTTCAATTCTTGAAGTTTGGCCTCTCTCCTCCTTCCTCAGCCTCCTGAGTGCAGGGATTACAGGTGTGCACCACCACATCTAGTTTT